GTATTTCTAATAGTCTAGAAACGGAACTTGAAAACAAATCCAGCTCAAAAACTTAGAAATTTTCAAGTCTGCCAACAGCTAGATATTGCTATGTTTAGAAATTTATTTTAAGAGATTGGGTTAAGGGGTAGTGTAGTGCTATAGCTTGATTTGGTAGTCTCATATGCCATCTTGAGCATGGTGAAGATGGTTTAGGTTAAGAATCAACCGTTTAGTTTTTATGGGCACTTTAAAATTCGTGAATGTCACATGTCTTGAGATGGTGGCGTTGTGTGCGCGGTCACCGCGCGGCCACCCCACATCGCGCCCATGACCATGTCCCGAGCAGTCACCCCGTCTGCATCACTGCTTAGGCCGACCGCCACGCCTAGGCATGGTCGAGAGCCACCCCTTGACGAGCCAGCCGCCCCGCGCCTGCTTTGCCGACCTCAAATTTCTTTGCCATTGGTGCTGCCACGGCCATGCTGCGCTACCGTCGCATCCGTCCGCTTCGTCGTCGTATCCGCGCCTGTCTGCTGTACCCCTGCGCCACTACCGCTCGCACATGGTCGAGCCGCCATCGCCATGTCATTTAAGAGTTAAGACACTGCGACCACGTGGGCCATGCCTATCGGCTAGTGCCGGCACGTAGGTCTCCCAATCTCGCTGCTCGTGTCCCACCAAGGAGAGGACGAGCCGAGCCCACCTGTCGCGCCCCATCTCTCTCTTTCTCTCTTTCTTCCTCTGTTTTCGGCCGTCATCGGGTCATGGTCACGGCGAGTCAGAGAGTGAGCACCTCTCATCAATTTCTCGTGCCCGTGTCTCTGCCTTTATGTCCTCTTGTCGACCGCCCCGACCCTACCTTGATTACGGCCAGGCCGAGCTATAATTTTGGAGCTTTGCTCCCGCCGCCGCGCCATTAAGGCTCTACCCGCCTCATCGTGGCCAGCTCCAACCTCGCCTTCTCACGTCGAATTGACCACACCACTAGCCTCGCCTAGAACCCCTCTTTGTCATGCGCACACTAGTCACAGCCCTAATGCCGCATCCACATCGCTGACACGGGCGTGTCGCTGCGGTTCACGGTCAAGCTCACCGCGCGCACGCGGCCAGGCTTGCTCAGGGCGTCTCTGGCTAGGACATCACCACTGGTAGGTTCATGGTGCGTCACTAATGCTTACCCATCACCTCTATTATCTATTGTATGATGTGGCTCACCGGAGCGCGGTTGTCGTCGCTGCAGGTCACCGCCGTCGGGGAGAGCCCGCTCTGCTTCACCCCTGTTAGTGCAACCACCGTCCATCGTCGCGCGTAGGCCCATAGGTGAGCATCGGTCCCCAAACTAGGTCTGTAAGGGTCTTGGGTGGCTGGCGTACCACCTAGTGCCACCGCCCACCGTGCCGGCGAGCGTGGGGCTTCTCGAGGACCTCTCTGGTGCGAAGGTGAAAAGATACGAGGACTCCGTTGCAAAGTCATTGTCTATAGAAATAGTACGTGTAGTATTCGCGCTATTGTCTGATAACGCGAGGGCATTTTTGCAAGTGTGCCAGCGCGTGCGGGGGCTCCCCGCCGTGGGCCGCCTCCACGCGTGGGCCGCGTTGGGCCAAAATCGGTTTATCTTTTTCGTGGAAAATAGAAATAGCTTTTTATTTTAATTCTGAGTTAAACTTTGGTAATTAATATAAAATAATATAGATATCAAAAAATTATGAAACTAATTTTGTTAGGTTCCTAAAATGTGCTCTATCTGTTAGTGTATTTAGTTCAAATATGTGCTTATTGATACCAGGAGCTATTAAATCATTTGAGAGTGCTCAATATTATTAAGTTAATTATTGTAGGAATTTTTATGATTCATTGGTGATAGCATAGCTGCATTGTATTATTATATGCTCACTGTAATTTTTGTAGCCCTAAAATAGACTATTTAATATGGTAGCTAAATACCCATTAAGGCTAAATGAATAATGGCATGATATTGGTTTATAAAAATTAAGCACGTATAGGGTGAGTTTGGAATCTATTTGGTAGAGATAATAATTAGCTTAATATCCTAGTCATTAGAGCTAGCTTAGTATCTTAGCATGTGCATTCTTATTTTAAGAGTTGTTGCCAAAATACTAAGTGTAGCACCATCGTTGCATGCATATAGAGAACGAGTTGGTAGAGTTCATGACCGCCGGAGAGCAGGAGTATGAGGAGGAGATCGAGGAGTAGGAGGAGGAGGTCCTTATGCAGGAGGAGGTCCCAGAGCCATCACTGACTGACTTAGCTGACCGCTTGTCCAAGGCAAGCCCCGGTGCATAACTCTTATTTTGAATAATTACTAGATATATACGTGTGATGTGCATTTACGTTATAGGATTTATATTGAAACTACATGCATAGATAAACCTACCTATAAGTCCTACTAGCATAGGTCGAGTAGCTGCTATGCTTGGACTATCAGTAGCGTGAGTAATCTATCGTTACTCACAATAGGTGGTTATTATTATTACTCTCATGATAAAATGGTAAAAGAAAATGGAGATCGGGCAGTGATATGGTACAGGTATTGGTGGGTGTAATAGGTTGTGTCCCATGGTCAACGGGACATAGCTTGGTTACACTGTTTTTCCTATCCGTGTCGGTTAAGGACCGTCTGTTGCTGTGGATTCTAGTCAGGTCACAGACTTATTATCCTGAGCACATACTTGCTTATGGGAGCGGAAAGGCTCGTTGCTCTCTTGTCGTGGGTTCCGGCTCTTTTCGGACCGACTGATTGGAGGCGGGGATGGTGAAGGTCTAAGCACCGCACTGAGTTCGGAACTCAGGAGTGGGGGCTTGGAGTCTAAAGTTTGGACGGGACCTGGACCCCTTGACAGGAGAGTGGTGGGTTGGTCTTACTTGTGCCTGGGGTACAAACAGGGCGTGTGTTTCGAGGTACCCAGCTGGGATACATTAGTTCACGAATCGCCGTGTGATATGGTACGACTTGTCTATGATCTAGCATCGTAGTAAGAACTGGAAGATGAAAGGAAGTGAATTGATCTGATTGCTCAACTCTTACGTGAAAGTAGAACATATGCTTACATAGAATAGTGAGCCAATGAACTAATCATGACTGTTAATAAAACACATACATAAGGATTCACTACTAGTGACGCTTTTCGCAAACATAAAGAAATTCAGCAAACCCTAAAGTTTATCATATCATTTGAAGTCGAGAAATTATTCCCACTAGTCGGGTAAGTCTTGCGAGTACATTGTGTACTTAGGGTTTATTTACCCCTGTTGTAGGTGTAGCTTGAGGTGGTTGTTGTGTGGAGGATTCTTCTTGTGGGCACAGACGGATCCTTGTATTGTATCGTTAGATGTTTATTTCAATTCCACTGTTAAAATTCCGCAGTCTGAACTTGGTATTATAATAATATATTTCCGAGAACTCTTGTTGTATGAAATGGATTAAGTATTGTAAACTCGTTCTCATTATTGGATCTTGGATGAAAAACGTGGATTGTTCGAGTTCTTCCTTGGGGTGTGCTCGACGGGACCGTCTAATATAGCTTACTTTCAGGGTGATTAGCGTTTAGTGGAAGACGAGCGCCTCTCAAAAATGTGCTATTTCGGATGATTCTGCCACAGAGTACATAATAGCAAATCCCAACACGCCATGCCATTGTTATTCTTGGAAATTTGACTTGGACCATTTATTAAACAATTGTGATATGAATGTTTGGACCCCTAGCGTTGTTAGTTGAAGTTTGAGCGCAAACCTTTTATTATTATAAAACAACTGTGATCTGGATGTTGCTTAATAGGCCCCGTTCGGCTTGCAGAAACCGGCTGAAAAAATACTACTCTAGCTGAATTGTTGTAAGAGAAAAACACTGTTTCAGCTAAAAAAACAAGCTGAATAAGCCGGTTTCTGGGTAAGCCGAACGGGGCCATAAAAGGGTAAATTTGTGAGAGGACCTGACATGGTAGGATTTTTCAAATCAAAATCATACCATTCGTGTGGAATTTGAAATAGTAAGTACTATTATCATCCAGTTGGACACCCCAAGCTACAATATTTGTCCTATTCGTTTGGACTTGTTTCGCTTATAAGTCGTACTTTTTCAGTCAACGAATAATATTTTTCTTTCACACCAAATCAACCAATAATATTTTTAGCCATGACTTATCAGCCAAATAAATCCAAACGAACAGGGCGATTGTATTCATTCGACCTATGTCTGCAGGCAGTAATCTACACAGTGACAGTGGGGGTGGATCATTAACATGTTGTTACGTTAATGACCTTCCAAACGTTACACAAGTTATTTGCAGCGGCTCTAGCTGCAACTGTACAGCCATGGAGCTCCTACATCAGTAGCTGCAGCGAGCAGAGCCAGAATAATTTCTCTGAGAAAGATTTTAAGGGGAGACGGAGTAGAGTATTTTGCTCTATATGACATGACATGTTTGCCGCCGTATCTGCATGTGGAAAACACCCGAACAAGAAAACAAAACCTCTGCAACCACGTAATATATAAATAAAAGGGGAAAAAAAGCAGCAGCAAAGCACCGAGCTCTGTGTAAAAATGAGATTGTACAAGGGCCAAACACAGAAAAAAGGTCCCTCTTCTAAATTTGGCACCGAGCTCGTCGCCTTCCCGTCTCGTCTTCCACAAGCTCACACGTTCCCTGCCGCTCTCTCGCTCTATCCCTCCACACACACACACATCCCAATTCCTCTCCCCATCGCCATTGCCATCTCCCTCTTTCGACTTGCTGCAGGTCCCTTCCGCTCTGAACAATCGCCGCCGCCATTTCTGCAGTTTTATTTAATTTCCTCGTCCTGTGCACCCCCAATCTTCCAAGAAGACCACCCGGGATCCCAGAAAAGTTGCGCCCTTTGCACGTCTCCCAGCCCCGAAACTGCAAGAACGCGTTCAAAAAAAAATTACCAAAAGCCAACCTTCCAATCTTCCTTGGATTCTTTTCGGTTCTTGGGAACGGACTGCACAGTTGCCTTCACCTGGTGGTGCCGACGAGCAATGGGGAGGAAGTGCCACGCCGGGGCCGCGCTGGCCGTCGCGTTCGCGGCAGCGGCGGCGGCCGCCGTCGCTGCCGACCGGGGGCTTTCGCTGGTTAGCGCCGCGGTGGCGCCGGTGGAGGAGGAGATGAGCCTGTTCCGGAAGGTGGCCAATCTGATGTGGAGGAGCGACGGCAACTCGTACCAGCACGTGTGGCCGGTAATTACAAAACCGCTTCGGTTTTTTTCCCAGCATTTCTTCGTTTTCTTTTCACGGAAAAAGAGCATTTTGTTTGTTTTTACCAGAGCTCAGTTGCTAGTTTAACAGTTTTGCGCTGGGTTAAGTTTACAAAGTCAGAATTTGGATATGTTTGGTAGGCTCCGAGTGTCAGAGCTCATCTGCTCTGGATTTATCATGGAATCCAGTTTGGGTCATGCAGACAGAACTAACTGAGCTATATCCTATTGAATTTGAGATGACCTACAGCACTGTCGTGATCCGATCCGACCTGTACTTTTCAACAGTTATTCTTTACTGCTTTTAAGACATGATGTTTTCACTTGGTGAATCTTGTTTGGTTGCTTTCTACAGCCAATGGAAGTTGGGTGGCAAATTGTGCTGGGCTCACTGATCGGATTCTTCGGTGCGGCATTCGGGAGTGTTGGCGGAGTTGGTGGCGGCGGGATCTTTGTGCCGATGCTGACACTCATCATTGGGTTTGACCCAAAATCATCTACTGCGATATCAAAGTGTGAGGATCTAACTGCTTCCTGTGGATCCTTCCTCTTGTGTGCATGCTCCGAAAGCAACAGTTTTGCTGTCCACAATCGATTTATAGGGCTTGTTTAGTGTATTCTTTCCTTTGTTGGTTGATTCATGTGTGCAGTAGTATGTGTCTTCATCTGGTATCTTTTCTGTCCTGTTGCTGTTGTAGTATACTTCTGGAAAGCGAGCCTTTGGCTAATTAGGATCGTTTTATTATATCCTGAAAGCAGTAGTTGCTGCTATTCTTTTCAGTAGTTTTTTTTATGCCATGCAGGTTCCTGTGATGATTGATAATTAATAGATACATGTGTCGACAGAATACATCTTTCTACCTTTGTTGGAAGTAATACTTAATCTTCAGCACAATGTAGACCTCATCATCTTTCTACCTTTGTTGGAAGTAATACTTAATTTTCAGCACAGTGTAGACCTCATCTCATGCATAGAAAAGGGAGCTCTAAAGGTCAAAAGTTGTACAAAAGGAATAGAAATATACAATATGGATGAGAGGTACAAGGATACTGCATTGGGTTCTAAACTACTCCAGCATACGAGTACTGTGTTGCCCATATGCATGCATGCACCTTGCTTGTTGGATATTGCCTTTCACTTGCAAACTTAATTTTTTGATGTCCATTGTCAGGTGTAGAAACATGATTACTTGGAACTCTTTTTTTTTTTGTTAGTACCTAATTATCTATCTGTTCTTTGTATGGCTGGTTTACATTATTTTCTGTGCGATTCAAAGAAAAATCTTCTTACCAAATTTCTATACATCCATACAAAATATAACAACATTATATAACAAAATCATTTATTTGTAGATCATCATTTTTTACTACTTTTATTGAGATGTTTTACTCTTTGGGACAGGTATGATTATGGGAGCGTCTGTTTCAACTGTTTACTATAATCTCAAGCTAAAACATCCGACTTTGGACATGCCGGTGATTGATTATGACCTAGCTGTGCTCATTCAGCCTATGCTAATGCTTGGGATCAGCATTGGTGTTATTTTTAATGTCATATTTCCTGACTGGCTGGTCACAGTTCTCCTGATAATTCTTTTCCTAGGTGCTTATCTTGTACCAGTTCCCAAAACTATGAAATACCTCATCTATTGTTCATGAATGACCTTACACTTTCAAATTTGATAATAGGCACATCCACAAAAGCCTTTCTGAAGGGCATTGAGACATGGAAGAAAGAGACAATAATCCAAAGGGTAATCTTTTGTGACTTCCTTGTCTCCTTTGTTAACAGTGATGCTTTGTTTTACATATTTTTCACATCCTACAATATAGTAATGTGGTAAACTTCTTTTCTTCCAGGAGGCTGCAAAACGTTTGGAGCAAACTGCAGGTAAGAGAGAGAAATAAATGTGCTCATTTGTCACAAATGCAGAATCTATTCCTTACCTTTTTCAACCGTTCAGCTGAGGAAGCAGAGTATGCACCACTTCCTACTGGACCAGGTGCGGCAGCAAACAAAAAAACCCTCTCATCAGATGAAGCGGTAAACATCTAATGATCATATATATACTCAGCTGCATTCTTTTGAAACTGTAGTTATAAGGATTTTAATCTAGAAAGTTTCCACTGTTTCAGCCATCACTTATAAAGAACATTCACTGGAAGGAGGTTGGTCTTCTTTCATTTGTGTGGGTGGCATTCCTTGTTCTTCAGGTCACAAAGGTCAGGATTTCTGCAGAAAGTTACATTCTAAAATTTAGACGTTGACATCGGTCTCGTCTAATTCAGTGAATATTGTGTTAATTTGTATGATTTGTCTCCAATATTTTCCAGTTTCTTTGGGCCTTCTCAACAGGAATATTTTAACAACTATGTTGTTTCCTTTCATGTTTTCAGAATTACACTGCTACTTGCTCCCCATGGTACTGGGTCTTGAACCTTCTCCAGGTATGATGTTAGAATATAAAAGATTAGTGTGTGGTTACAAATCTACAATATTGGCCACACACCCATGTATGGAACACAACATGATTAAATCTTTCTGTGGTTGGACATAGGTTCCAGTGTCAGTAGGAGTGACACTGTATGAAGGATTTGGGCTGATGAGTGGGAAGAGGGTGTTATCATCAAAGGGAAGTGAACAAACTACCATGAAATTTCATCAGGTAGTTGTATACGGTCTATTCGGTATAGCTGCAGGACTAGTTGGTGGACTCCTAGGTCTCGGAGGTGGCTTCATTATGGGGCCACTGTTCTTGGAGCTTGGCATCCCTCCCCAGGTACACTGCTTCCCTACTCCTGTTTTAATGTCTGCTCAAATCATGCATTGACACTGAAACACCTCCATATCTGATTCTATGATAGGTTTCTAGTGCTACGGCTACCTTTGCAATGATGTTCTCATCTTCCATGTCGGTTGTCGAATACTACCTCTTGAACCGGTTTCCAGTGCCTTATGGTATAAGCTGTTTCTTCCACGTTCATGCAATTTTTCTCTTCTAATAACAGTGATACACATATTTGACTTGATTCCTTGGCCTTTTCTTCAGCTGTTTATTTCACCTTTGTGGCGTTTGTTGCTGCCCTCATCGGCCAGCATGCGGTGAGGAAGTTGATCAACTGGTTAGGGCGGGCATCACTTATCATCTTCATACTGGCTTTCATGATCTTCGTCAGCGCGATTTCTCTCGGTACCATCTTCTACACTTGATTGGAATTGATCAAATCCCACTCTCTGAACCACGTTACCTAAGCAATCCTCTTCTCAACCTGTAGGTGGGGTTGGCGTCTCTAACATGGTTCGCAAGATTGCACGACACGAGTACATGGGGTTTGAGAACCTTTGCAAGTACGATGCATAGGAAGCAGGAAGGTTGAAGATGTGAGTTGTGTGGTGTGCAGTTCTCCGCAAGCAGAAGTGGGATATAATTCAAGGATCAAAAGGGTTCCACAATTCGATTTTGGTGCATAGGACTGAAGAGATTCTAGCTGCGACAGCTCCGAAGGGAGGCTAGCTGCATAGAATGGTTTCAGATGAATTTTGGAGCATGTTTTCGGTGGTCTCTAGTTTCCATTTTAAGTCAACTAAGCCAAGTGTCATCACTTTGTATGAATTTTTTCCTAACAAATTTAGAGATGATTTTCTGCCACGGCAGGATATCGTCAGTGTATTTCGTCGTAGGAAATGTACATTGCACATCTTCAGATAACATCCTATAGTACTCTGCAATATGAAAACTTCAGAAATCTGTGCTTTTATGCTCACTCTAAGCACAATATCACATGATAAGCATGAGGTGAGTGACTCTTATGGATTTTTCGTCTTTAGCCTACCTCAACTCGCTGCTGCTGCGGCAGCTGTTTTTTGTAACCATGAGTGGCAGGAAGGAGAATCTGATGCTCACTTTCTGTGTGCATTCAAGTTGAAAATTCTTATGAATTCCACCTGGCGAGCAATCTTGGAGCTGGATCTCTCAGCATGAATCTTCCGTCAGCATTAGAAAACTGAACAAAACCTGAAGATTCAATTTTGTAACAAACCTAACCGAATGAAACCCAGTAGTGCAGCGGCTCATGTGAAATGGAATTGGTGCATTTGTAGTTGTAGGGCTGTCCCTTTTCTGAATTCTGAATAATCTGAACATGTTCCCCATTTGTCTGTGCTGCAATATATCATACGGCCTCGCGACAAGATTGAAAAAACGTCCGAGAACAATGGCCGATCCGATGAGATTTGGAGGAGAACCTGATGCCCAACCCCAGCCTCTGTGTGTGGGCATCAGCAGCAAAGCACCTGATTCTTGATTCCACCTGGTGAGTGGTGAGCCCCAATATATCCTAAGGATTGATGGTTGTTTATACATATAACATACCGACACCCTCAAAGAACTCATCAGTCATCGCCATCGACGAGCTCTCAGGTGGTCGCTGGAGTGGCGAGATGACTGACGGCCGGCGGCCGGATGGGAGCTACGGGCCGGAGTACGGCCCCGTGCCTCGTGAGCTTGAGTACGCCTTGTACCATCAGTTGCCGTCCAGGAGCAGGAGGAGGTCCCCTTGGCCTCTGCATCATGGGGTACCGTACCATACCAACTCTGTTTTTTTCTCATCTTTGCACGTTTCCAGAGAGATGTGAATTCATTCGTAAGCATTATAGCACTTGTGTGCCTGAGATGGAAATTTAATTGTTCATTCTTGCAAGTTCAAAGCCATGCTTTTGGATTTTGATGATCCAGGATTACCCTTGGAGGCTTCCGGAGCAGAGGTTCGAGCGTTCCAGTTCCTGGTACAGTTCAAAAGACTCTTCTGTCTGCCTTCTCAATCTGAGCTTCAGATGCATTAAATTTTGGACACTTGAACTTGATACTATCATCACCCGTAGCATCTGGCCAACTCATGTGTGCTCAGGCACCCTTTGCAGCCATACACACCATTCCAAATCCACCATGTCCATGACAGCAGTAGCAGTGGCGCGACCCTAAACCCAAGACACAGGCGAGAAGACACTGGACTAACCGATGAGGAGTTCAGGGAGGCCATGGATCAGCTCAGGAAGCAGGAATACAGGCCACCGGATCCGCAGAAGAAGCAACAAGGCGGCAGAGGCATCCTCCGGACCAGGAGTGCAACACCACCGTCAACCACCGAAGAGGAGAAGGCCTGCACCGTATGCCTGGAGACATTCCTGCCCGGAGAGCAGGTGGCGATCACGCCCTGCAACCACATGTTTCACCAGGGGTGCATCGCCCCTTGGGTGAAGGGGCACGGCAACTGCCCGGTGTGCCGGTTTGCGCTCTGCGAGAGGAGGAACCCCGCTGATGCCGCCAACGAAGACGGAGGGATGGATCTGGAGCTGCTGGCGATGGTGAGGGCGATGGAGGAGGCATTCAGCCGGTTCAGGCTCTTCTCCGACTCCACGCCACACTATCACTAGACGAATCAGCATCAGGCACTGAATCTCTTCAGCCTGTAAGATCCCAGACTTGCTAGCACTGCCACGTTGTACTAGGTTTCACAAAACTCCAGTATCATCAGATATGTTGCAATAATGTAAAACTAGATTGTGATTTGCTCCTTATAATGCATTTCATTTGCAACGTCAGACCAGTCCAGATAATAACCGCTAACTGTACAACGACGACGACGACGACGACGCGAGGACGACAAAGCCTTATATCCCAAACAAGTTAGTGGCTTAGAGTTGAAACCTAGCAGAATCAATCAAGATTCAGACACGTGAATAACTGTTTTTCAAGCACTCCTATCTAAGGCTAAGTCTTTGAATATATTTCATCCTTTCAAGTCTTATTTTATTGTCTCTACCCAAGTCAACTTCGGTCTTCTTCCATCTCTCTTCACGTTATTATCCTGACTTAGAATTCCACTACGCACCGGTGTCTCTGGAGGTCTTCATTGGACATGTCTAAACCATCTCAACCGGTGTTGACAAGCTTTTCTTCAATTGGTGCTACCTCTAATCTATCACGTATATCATCGTTCTGAACTCGATCCCTTCTTATATGACTGCAAATACAACGCAACATACGCATTTCCGCGACATTTATCTGTTGAACATGTTGTCTTTTCATAGACCAACATTTTGCACCATACAACATATAGCAGGTCTAATTGCCGTCATATAAAACTTGCCTTTTAGCTTCTGTGGTACCTTTTTATCACATATGACACTAGATGTTTGGCGCCACTTTATCCACCCTGCTTTGATTTTATGGCTAACATCATCATCAATATCCCCATCTCTCTATAGCATTGATCCTAAATATAAAAAGATATCTTTCTAGACACTACTTGACCTTCCAAACTAATATCTTCCTCCTCCCGAGTAGTAGTACCAAAGTCACATCTCATATAGTTCTACTGAGTCTAAAACCTTTGGACTCCAAAATCTTCCAGCATAACTCCAGTTTCTAATTCACTAATGTCCAGCTTTCATCAACTAGCACTACATATAGATCTGTACAAGACAAACTGTACAAGACAAACTTAAATCTGGAAGTAATATAATTCATTGCACGAGATGTGACATGTTTCTAAAATGTATGCTCCAACTTGTATCGTGATAATGGACGAGAACAAATCTAAGCAGCATTCTCACTCCAAAGAATTCTAAGCAGACTCATGTTTACAGCAGAACCAAGAACAATAGAAAAGCTTTATCTGGACACTGGAAGTGGAAGAGTTCACTGTATGCTACGAATAACAATAGAAAACCCTATTGCCGAAAGTTGCCAAAGCAAGGTGAAAGTTACTCAAGCGCGCTCCAGTTACCAGGACACTCAAGCAAGGGATTAATTTGGCATCTGCAGTCATTTACAGTTTTTACATCGGTAGGTCTTCCTACGGCTGCCGTTCAGCTGTCTCGAATAATAAGGTTGGCTGGTTCGCTCAAAACATACTTGGGCAGTTCATACTTAGCACCTGGAATGTTAAAACAGACCTATTAATATTAACAAAAATGAACAAATGTGAAAGGATAACAGAAAGGCAAAGAGTCAAGCAGAAAAGCCATACCCCTTTCATCATAGCAGAGAGTCAGATCAGCATTAGAAACAATTATGCCTGCACTTTCCACAACAGCCTGTGCATGGGATACCTCAGATTCTGATGCAACTCGAAGGGCATCCCAAATTTCTGTACAAGGTTCAAAATCGTTAGTGCAAAGAGGTTAAAGAGTGCAACTAGAAATATAAGAAATTATGCATCCAAACAGATAAAAGGAAGATGAATTAGCTCAACTTATACAAACCAAACAATATACTGAAGACAAGTGAACAAAAACAAAGATGAGAATACCTTTCTGACCACCATAATGAGGAGCGGTGTCCCAAAACTCCTCACGCATCTGCCTGAGCTGGGGCCATGGTTATCGGTTGGGGATGCTTCCAAACTTTGGGCTTCCTCACTTTCTTAGTGCCATGATTGCCATCTGCATATTATAACATAAACGTCACAAGATAAGGTGACAAATAAAAACGATATTAGTTAATTAAGCATGTAGAATCTTCAAAATTTAATCAGTATCATAGTAATTAGTAAATCAGCAAAAGTGTTATGACAGTAATAGTACAAGGATGCTGTGAAAGAACACGTATACAAGGCAGGAACATGCTCATACATAAAATTGAGAGTAAACAATTCAGTGATTCCCTTGCACACATTTTAAAGGAACAAAAAATGCTAGGCTTTAGATTTAACCTTTATAGTTCCTACCATTATTCTTGGTACTAGGTAACTACTTTCTTACTATGTAGTCTAGTCGACACAAATATATGAATCTTCTAGGGCAACTAGCAAGTTTATCCTTCCTGCCAATTCTTGGTATCAATTAGCTAATTTTAGTGATTGCATGACCTAACCAGCTGATTATCCAGAAACGAAGATGGCAACTGGTATATGGCCGAGAACAAGATGTAAATGCAATGGTTGAACAATATTCCTCAATAAACATTGACCATTACAATTCAGAAAATAAGCTGCTCAGTTGAACCCACAAAAGTACAATTCTATGCAATGTAAACAGTAAAAATATTATCGCCTGTTCGTTTGGACTTGTTTGGCTGATAAACCATGGCTGAAAGTACTATAGGCTGATTTGGTGTGAGAGAAAAATATTATTTGTTGGCTGAAAAAGTATAGCTTATAAACCAAACAAGCCCAAACGAACAGGGCGTATGTTTATATTCCTAATATTGTAACTTGAAATATGGAAATGGGACACATCTAAACACATAATATGAATCAGTGTATTGCTGTAAGAATAAATGCCAGATAGCACTAAAAATACAAGCAGAAAGAATGGCAATCAGTGTTTGGTTTGGCAATCGAAAATTTATTTGATCATAATTATACAGGGTTACAGGCATCCAAAATCAGAACTATGAGTCGCTCTAAAGGAATGCATGTTATAAAATAGAGAAACAGACAGGTCAAGCATAAAACATGATACCCATGGATCACTCTCAAGGATAAGCATGTTTATTATCTATTCTTAATTTTTGGTGCACACTATTGTCATCAGTCAACTGTCTTGAAGGTTCCTGATACAGGTATGACACTACACACTGCCAAGTTGACCATATATCTCATAGCCACCCATCATATCACCTCACACAGCTACCAACAAACATAATGACAGCTCATCAAGACAATCTAATGCCTCTTCATGGAATCTAAGATCCAGCTTTCCTACCTACATGTCAGAAACGGATTTATAGCATGATCCACACACTATTCAGATATGCAAAAGCAAAACACAGGTCCAATTCAGGCTTCTGTGGCACTTAGATGTTTCAGAAGGAACACCCTGCTATTGCCATTACAGAAGCAGTACAAGCCCCCACAGCCCATCCTCACATTCACAGGAATGTTTCCTCACAAACTGAAATGTCTACAAAAGGCATACTAGAGAACAAAGGATTCCACAAATCACTACGGCTCCAAGAACGACGACCTTCTGGCAATTCTTTCGAGCTACCAACCAGGAAACCAAGACATCAATTGCAGGCGACTTGATCCTTAGCCATTCAATCCCACCAATAATAGGCCTCCACCGCCACCCCCCCCCCCACCCATCCACCCCCGTGCAACGGCATCACTCTTATCACCCCCAAGACTTCACAAAATTACAAAGACCTCGAATTGATAATCTGACCCAACTGGAACTAAAGGAGTCCACCCAGGATCCCATCCCTTCCGACCACACGATCGGTCGCAACTCGCAATTCCCTTCACCGCAACCAGTACCGCATTGCGCCGCACAAAACCCTCCCAAGATCGCAACCTCGCAAGAGACCTACAAATCCTGAGACCGAAGAACCGTCGTTCCCCAAGAAAACCCCGATTCCAACCGCACGGATCGCCTAGCGAAGCAAATAACTTGGGGATCGGGATCGTGAGCTCTTACCGCTACTTCCTCCGGTATCTTTGGTGGCCGGGGTGGATCCTACGCAGCCCATGGGACGGGAGGCAGTCCGCCGCGTCTCAGCGGCGGCGAGGGAGTAGGGTGTGGGGGCGGCGGCGCTGGCTTTGGCTCGGCTTTGCCTTCCCACGAAAAGAAAACAAACGGAAAGCGACTGTTTTTTTTTTCATGGGATGGTTTTACTTGTGCTGTTAAGAAGGCCTAACTCGTGGTGATTAGCTGAAGTGGCAAGTCAGCCTGGGCGTTCGGTTTTTACCGACGGTTCGGTTCGATTTGTTCGGTTTTTCAAAAATTCGGTTTCCAGAAAATGACCCCCGATCGGTTTGCTAAAATTTCAAAAACCGACCAATTTCTTCGTTTTTAGTTCGGTTTTTCGTTAAAACCGAATAAACCGATGCAAAAAATATCGACATAATTTACAATTGACAAGACAAACTTCGGTTTTTAAACTATCATTACAACACATTTTAAGTTTGGTTTTTCAGATTTTTAGTTCTTGGTACAATGGTGAGTTCTAAACACTTTTAGTTCGGTTTTTCATCTTCGGTTGTCGTGAAACCAAACCAAGCCGAACAATCCGAACTTCACAGAACTAAAATCAAACCAAACGAAAAACCGAACTCAGATTTGGGTTTGATTGATTGATTCGGTTTTCGGTTTCCGGTAAAAAAATGCCCAGGCTGAGTGGCAAGATAACGATATCCCAGAGCAGGTCGAGAGACTCTCTGAATATTAGGAACAGAATGAAAAACTATCATTCATTCAGCAGTTTTTCTAAATGATGATCCAAATATAGTCATCTTCTATTCTGGATTTTTCGCTAGCAAAAAATAAAAGACGAGAATGACTCTCTAGAATGCGCATGAGATATAGAAAAACTGTTGGAGAGTAAAAATATATAGAAAATGATTTTTATACAAATGACTCTCTAAATAATAATTTAAAGAGTAAAATTTAGAAAGAGTCTTGAAGATGCTCTTATGACACCCACAGCACAGCTAGGCCATGTTTACACACCTCCCTCGCCAGCTCCAGAAGTTGTTTTGCGCTAAACGATGTAAAATAAAATAGACTTGAGAAGCTTTTGAGAACCTACACTGATAAGGGATGAACAAGTGTCGAAGCTAAAAATATTAGATTCTTCTGGTCCATCTCCCACTACAAGCCCAACACGTGTTGGCAGATGTATTTGCCCTCTTAGGCCAATAACAACTCAGGCATATAGCAGCGTTAGCCCAGCAAAAAAAAAAAGTCACCTTCTCAGGCATATAGCAGCGTTAGCCTAGCAAAAAAAAAAGTCACCTTCCACGTATGCCCGATGGATTAAAACCATCGTTCACTCAACACAAGACATATATGTGTTGTCTCTTCACGGCCCCATGGTCTGCACACCGCTCAATTTTGTCTAGAGAAAGTTTGGAGCGAAACGCAGGAATCAGATGTGGTCCCAACCGTCTAAAGCCACTACTCCCACCACAGTGTGCTCCCTAGCTGTTGTCTGACTTTTGTCAGATGAGGCGATGGTCTCTTCTGCAAGACAACCTGACACTCTGCGAGGCTATAATTCCCTATGACATGGAAGTCTGGAGCTGAGGTGGACACTGAGGTAGCACACCACCGTGGTGCATTGGGGAAGGCCTCAGGGACCATCTCCCATTGCAGACCCCAACACATGTTTGAGGATGTGTTTGCCCTCTCTGGGACAATGACACGGCACGAGGAGGGTGCGGCCGTCAGGACAGGCGCAAAGCCGTTGGGCCAGGGCACAGGTAAGGTCGTCGGGGCACGTGTAGGCGTGTAGCCGCTGCTGATAGGGGCGGAGCTACATGCATCATAGTGGGTGCAGTCACACCCACAGAAAAAGTAAAACAATAATGATAAAAACCTAATTTTCGCCGTATTTGCACCCACACGTCGTAAAATCCTTGTACCCACAAGGCAAGCAGCATCCCCCTCGGATTTGCTCTAGCTCCACCCTTGACTGTCGGGTGCACTAGCTGCTAGGCGCGCACGGGATGCTGGGGAAGAAGAAGATCGAGAAGAGCCACCAGGGAAGAAAGATCAAGAAAAAAGAAGACCGTGAGATGAAAGAAGAAAAATAGAAAATGATGAAAAAAGAGAAGGGTATTATGGTCATCTTATGTATCATGTTACCATGAGCTACACGTGGAGTTGAAAAAAATGGTTTTACCGGTGAAGTGGAGATGTGTCAAACATGGCCCCAGTTAGAGATGGAAAAGGTACAAAGTTGATAAGTTTTGTCAAACCAAACCCATACTCGTAAATAGAACATCTGCCTGCTAAAATTACTTGTCATGTGTGCAAATCTATGCTTAGAGCCATGTCCACTTGAGTCACGGGTACCCAATGGATCACTTGTTCCCACAACAACAGGCACACTATGTCACCACCAGTTAGCTGATAGTAGTATAGTACATATTCACAATTGTCATATATTATTACAAATGTGAGACAAGCTGAGAAAGGAGACATAGCGATGTATTTCCTAGAGTTTAGATCCCACTTGGATCATACGTCTCTGTTGTGGAAGCCATGAGCGACCACCCATGATCGAGCTCTAGCTAGGTTGCTCTCGACCACTTTCCACTCTTTCACTAGATGATTTTTTTCCTTTTGGGGGCAAGATCGTAGCTCTCACAAACTCCTCGCGGCACTCCACAAGTTTGGGTCCTCACTGGCTATGCCTAGCCGTCTAGGAACCAAACTTTAAGAGTAACAATGCTTCACAATAAATCTTGACGGTACCATAAAGTGCTCAAGTCTTGGTTTATCTCTTTAGTGCTCACACAAGTTCAAAATTTTGCTCTTTAATTCAAAGGATATCTCACTTTTTTACACATATCCCATAAAGAGTGAAGTGGGAGCTCTCACAAGGCTATTTTTTTTGAAGTTAGAACACTTTGGAATGCACCTACAACACACAAAGGGGCGTTGGAGGGGTATAAATACATATCCCATGAAAACTAGTTGTTATGGACCTACCAATGAAAACCTGCTTAGCTGGTTTCTCCAGCCAACTAGCCGTTAGACACTCTAATAGGCAAACCTGCAAGCTTATCGGACTTCCTAGCCTTTTTGCAACTAGCTCTCGTTTCTATGCTAATCACTCGGATTTCTCACTTGAGTTGTTTCGATCACTTCTAGGCCTCATCTATCACTTAGTGTTGTATCCCTCTTAATAGTATATCAACACCAAACTCAAGATTTTAAAGATATGCAAATAATCCACACTTGTGTCTCTCATTCTTCAAATATCAATCTTCATCATTTGAGGGTATCCAACACCTTCCTTGTCATGAGCTAAACCACCTTGAGCTATGACTTTAGATTTCTCAAACCATTTGATCAAGACTACATTTTCCATCCAAAAAATTATTTTCCATATAATTCAATAATGATTTGATTCTCCATATAATGTGACTTCCATAGCTAGATAAGTGACAAGACTCAATGCAAGTACTCTCTTCTTCACCTTGGTGGTACTCCATCGGCGCACAAGCTATCACTTGCCCTTCACCTTTTCTTAGTCCCTTGAAGCCCTTTCCTCGCTATCTTCACCATTTTAGGCCATCCTAAACCACATGGTGATTTGAACCAACAATAAGCATACGTTTATTTGCATTGTTATTTTCTACTTGATTTGAACTAGCAAGCTTCATGAGTGAGATTATTCCATATGTAATCAATTATGTCTCATCTTCACTTCATCATGCTTCATAATCATGCTTGCCAATTCATCAATTGTGAAACACAATATCTACATTGCACAATATGATTAAGCTTCACATGAGAGAGCAAATAGATATCCATAAAACCATAGCTCTTTTGCTATATTCATCACATGCTTGTAATGTATGTATTTTATCATATTAATTTGGACTCATTTCTCATTTATGTCATTTTCTTCACGATATGAGTTCAAACCATATCAGTTATACCTGGAACTAAATACCTACAATCTTCATAAAATTCATTAATCTCTTACTTGTGTTGTCATGCAATCCACCAAAATCCACTTAGAGCCTAGATTCACTTTCATATGCTCAACACACGGTGTTTATAGGACCTCAACATTTGATTTCTTTCTGTCCGATCAAGATTGAACAACTATATATCCTTTCTTGTTCAACCATATACAGCCTGTTCGGCAGCCTGTATCTGGCTTATAAACCTTGGCTTATCAGCCAGCCAACAGTGTTTTCTCTCACACCAAACCAGCTAGCAGTACTTTCAGCCATGGCTTATAAGCCAATCCAGCCGAAACGAATAGGCTGATAGCCATTTCTTCTTCACATAGCCACCATGCCCGATGAAGCCCCCATCTCACCCACCTATCTCGTCTCCAGTGGTTGCACATCGTAGGATCCACAACTGCCACCTTATGTAATGCTAACCTAGGCCACGTTTAGTTCCACCAAATTTCCAACTTTGACACTATGCAAAAAGAAGATTTTCCGTCACATCAAACTTGTGGTACATGCATGGAGTATTAAATGTTGATGAAATCAAAAACCAATTACACAGTTTGGTTGTACTTTACGAGACGAACGTTTTGAGCCTAATTAGTCAACGATTGGGCAATTATTATCAAATAAAAACAACTGCGTAGCTACTGATTTCGCTGCCCAAAACAGTGGCTCCCCTATAATTGCCGCCACTCAGCCTAACTGTTCCCTCTCAAGGCCCCAAACCAAGGCTCCCGCCTCTCTCGCCTCACCGCTCTCGTGCCTGCCATGACTGTTGGTCTAGCCTTCCACCCTCTGATTCCCCGTATTTTTCTTTTAAAGCCACTAGAGATGGAGAAGGCATGCAGAGACAGGAGAACAAAAATCCAGAGTGTTTAAGAAGGGTAGAAACACTCAAGTGTTGTATAGCATAGGGTTCTTAATATTTATTAAAAACCTAAATACTCATGAGGCATGAAGAAAAATATAAACATTAAAATTCTCAAAATGATATTATTATTAACTACAGGCTCAAGCAAATCTTGATAAGACGCATGCTACTAGTTGACTAGGCACTGTACTGATTGGAAAATTATGGGGTGATCAATGTGTGAAAGAGACTTTTTATTTCAACTACCTGACACTGACAGCTGCCTAATCTAATAGGGGTTGTCTGCCATCTACGTGATCACTCACTGTGTCTCTTTCTAAGAGTCGCTATGGTATTCGTACTGATCAAATTATGTTAAGTTTGACTAAATTCTACCAAATAAATTTATTATAAAATAAATTTAACGATCTATCTAATGACACTAATTATGTACCATAAATATTGTTTTTTTTTTTGTATATATTTGATCAAAGTTGAGTACATTGATTTTTTGAAAGTGAAAACGACGTTTAAAAAGGGACTAGATAAATATATAGGCCATACTCGGCTTACCCTATATTTGACTTGTTCGGCTTCTTTTTTCAGCCGTAACAATGTTTTTCTCTCACAACAATTCAGCCGAAACAGTGTTTTCAACCAAGACGGGGCCATAGTATCAGTTGCATAGGATATACCAACCCACGGTAAACAGTGTGTAGTTGCAGTTAGCGCTACTGAGCCATGGTAATAATAACTTAATAATAAGGGATGGAACCCCAACCTACAGTTGTATTTTTCAGGACCGGAAAAACTTACACTGCAGGCCTGCAGTGTCAGACAGTGATTTCTGCAGACGGACAATTCGATCGAAGAACTGTAACAACCACAGAAAATATGAAAAGTGGCCAGTGGGGTGTGGGGAGGAAAAAAGGAAACAAACACTGTAGGGCTAGAAAAATCTCGCTAAAAGCCTCTGATACAACGTTAAAGCAGTGGAGCTCGATGACTTCGATGACTTATAAGTCGACTGATGATGTTTTATTATAAGAGGAAAACACTGTATCGTAGCTGCTATCAAGCGAACGAGGCGAATAGGCTTAGGCAGAATCCGAATCCATGCGAATTTTTTTTTGGCGGCACCGAAGCTGATCAGAAGAGCTTCGCTTGTCCCCTAGACACGTCTATTCCGGCCCCAATCGTCCAGGTTGGCATCACCGTCTATTGCATTGGTCTTCAGCCGTACGTTCAGCGTAGACGTTGTTTGAGTCAACAGTTTGACTCCGATCGGGACCGACAAGCCCGCCACCGCCAGGCTGGAAGTTGGACCGGAGAACAAAAGAGGAACCCTGAAAAATGTGCATGAAACCACGTATACTTACTTGGGATGTTGAAGAGAGCGTTCACACCGATGAGAAGGTGTACACTGTTAGCATGTGATACTATACTATCTAGTTAGGGGAAGTGCATGATTAGTTCCTTGTTATAGGGTGTATATAACACATTCGATGTGTAGGGTTTAAGCAGCCGTAATGCTACTTATCTGACGTCCGGACGCAGGCCCACATCCCACTAAAAATAGTCCACCGCTCACCTTCCCTCTTGATCTTATCCATTCTCTGTTCACCAAAAGTCAAGCTTGCGCTCCGCGTGTGCCAATCCTGCGCCACGTCCCCATCCCCGCCGCCCCACCTCCTTGATGATTGGGCTGCACACCTCCTCCACCTCCCTGAGCTTCTCCTCATAGTACTCCTCCGTTGTTCGTCCCGTGGCGCCGTCCCGCTCCTCCAGCCACTCCAGCGCCTCCGCAATGGCGGCCTCCATCTGTCCTCCTTACCGATCTTCCCTGCCATGTTGTCCCGCACCGTGGTGCGGACGCGGTACAGAGGCCTGCGGCGGAGGTGTACACTGGTCGTTGTTCTCGACATCCCCCGACCCGAGCTTGTTGGCTACCGCAGTTCTCCAACAGGTAGGCCATGGTCGTTAGCGATATCGTGTTTCAAGTGTTTTCAGGTGTTTCAGACGTATGTTTCAAGTGTTTTATCTGGATGTTTCAAATGTTGCAATAGCTATATACGCATGTTGGAAGCGTATGTTTCAAGTGTTTCAGTTGTTTCAGACGTATGTTTCAAGTGTTTTATCTGGATGTTGCAGAAGTATATCTAGATGTTGCATAACATGCATGTTTCAAACGTATGTTTTCTAGTGTTCCAGGTGTTTCAAACGTATGTTGCAAGTCTTTCATTTGGATGTTGCAAAAGTAAATCTGGATGTTGCGTATGTTTCTATAGCTATACACGCATATTTCAAGCGTATGTTTCAAGTGTTTCATTTATTTTCAGACGTATGTTTCAAGTTTTTTATCTAGATGTTTCAAAAGTAGATCTGGGAGAGCACATGTTGCAATGGAGTCGGTGGCTGGCGGCCTGCCATAGTCATCTGCTACTGCTGCTGGGGCGCCGCTATGGGTCACCGTGCGGGTGCCTAAGGCCAGCAAACACCTTTGTGGCATGCATATGCAGGCGGGGCAGGTGACTAGGACCGGTCCCCATGTGTATGCGGGCTCGTGAAAGGGAGAGGGCTTCCCGTGGGCGTGTGTGACGGAGGAGGCACGGTGCTACGTCCAGATGGAGCAGGCTCGGTTGGTCCCCGCGTACGCTTGACCGTGGGCGAGCGAATCGCGCGGGCCTACAGAGGTGGCACGGGAGCCGCGTCTAGACGCGGCGTCCGTCCGGACGTTCGGGCGCTAGCCATTCCGTTTAAGCAATCATCTTGTCTAAGATATCATGAGTTTATTTTACAAATTTTAGTAAAATTATTATTCTATCCCTCATTCCTAACTCATTCGGTTCTTTTTTTCGGTTCAAAGAGAGCATGAATCATACAATTTCTCAAGCTCAACACCCCTTAAATCTTTGACATAATCCATGTCAAAGATTTAAGGGGACCAGGCAGTAGTGCATTGCATCCGGAACAGTTAGACCAGGCAAGGAGACCAACCTCTGCTCCTCGTCGTCAACGGGCTTCCCATCCTGATCCCAAACAGGGACGCCTGCGCACTCGTGACTCGTATCGTATGGAGAGGTGCAGTAGTGCATAGACACCCATGCCATACTGTGAAGAAGACTCCAAAAGACTGAAACGCCTTTATACGAGAGAAAAAAGATATAGATATCCTCTCCCTCTCCCTCTTTCTTCGCCTAGAGACAGCCAAGTCAATCACTCCTCTCTCCGGTCCCTCCACTACTTTCACCTGATCACCACCTCCACTTGGAACTCTGAAGAGAGAGAATGGCGTGTAGGCCGCCATGTCCATGTCCATGTCCATGTGGCTGGAGCTGCTTTTGCATGCTGTTCTTCCTTGGCTTGCTGCTCGCCGAGGCCGTCCATGGCGCATCCGCTCCTCCGACTCCAAGCCTCGTTCCAGCTGAAGGTGTTTACTCTCGCCCTGATGCTGTACTGCATTGATTGATTGTACCTTCTTTTTCAGTTCAGTACTTCAGTTGTTGCCTCACTGGTTTTGAGGTATAAAAAAAAGCGCATGGAGCATGTTCTTTGCCTGGCACTCTGGCAGCCTTCTTGTCCACCTTCCCTTGCTTCGGACTCTTCACTCTTGATCTGAATCGTTGCTGCAACACCTGCCAAAAGTTCCATTTTTTTTTGTGGGGGTGGGGGAGGAATGAAGAACTTCACTAGGGGAATGCTTTACCTTATTACCTAGAAATTCAGGGCAACGCGCCTTTGATTGGACGTTCAAAGACACAGACCATCTGGCAAATGTGAATGTGATCACTGATAAGAGTCTCAGCTGCAAACCAAACCAGCAATGGAGACGGGCAAAATGCCCGGCATGCTGCTGCCTTCAACTATCAACTAACCACAAATTCGTTTTAATTTCCTCCTCTTTCTCTTCAACTAACTCAAATGCTGTGTTCTCCGGCCCAGCTGCTGAAACCGTGTTCTTGCAATCTCCTTTCGCAGTGCGCGTCCTTCGCCGGATCGCGGCCAGACTCGGTGTGTCCAGCTGGGACTTCGCCGCCAGCGCTGGTCCCTGCGACCACGGCGACTCTGGGGTGCACTGTGACTGCACCTTCTCTAACGGCACTGCCTGCCATGTCACCAAGATGTACGCTTCATTTCTCCACACTCCTTTTTTACCCAATTTTCTTTTCTTTAATTCCTTGAGCCAACAAAATCACATCACCCGGTTTGGCAGTTGGCACCATGATAATCTTTAATTTGCAGATTCCTCAAGGGGCAGAACTTCTCCGGTGAGCTCCCGCCAGACTTCGCTGACCTCCCCAACCTCCTCCAGCTGTGAGTTCTTAATCTCAACTAGTCAACTGTTGGTCAAAATGATCGGTGCCACAAGCTTCAGCTGTTAAGAGCAGTGGCGTCATAATACATATAGTAATAATATCATAAAGAATTACGTTTAAAAAGAATATCATAAAGAAAGAAGCGTTGTTTCCGTGCTGCAGAGATCTAAGCAGGAGCTTGTTTCATGGTGGAGTGCCTGACCAGTGGGCCCGGATGAAGTTACAAGGACTGTGAGTGCCCTTGCACAGTTGCACTTTACCTGCCCATTGTCTGCTTGACTGGTTGACTGGTAGTAGAACAAAATGTAGTGTGTGGAGCTAATCATGGAGCATCAGGGAAAGATTCGTGCCATTGGGTAGTGATTTTCCTGCACACTTTGTGAAGTGTGGTGTACGGCCTAGGTTGTCGGAAAGGAATATCTAAGATAACAACAAATTAGAGCACTCCCAAAGCACAAATTTTGCCCATCAGGATGCTGTGATAGATTAGATGGCTTTTTTGTCCCATGTCAAAAGCCAACTTTGTGAATACCAGTCATCATCTGTGCACTTATACCCACCTTTTCAATAGTTCATATATTGTTTAGGTTCAACACAAGAAAAAAATTTAGCAGTGACCAACAATCTAGTAGTCTCCCTTTGCAGTCTTGCTAGAATAGTGAATTCTTGTTCATCTGACTATAATATCCATGGCCTGGATTTTAATAATTCATTTTGTACAACAAACAGAATCACACATAGCATGTTGCTGATCTGTTGATGCAAAGTCATGCAGGTCACTGATGGGGAACAGATTGTCAGGGCCTTTTCCCATGGTTCTCACAAAGATCACAACCCTGACTAACCTGTAAGAGCCTGAAAGAAACTAGTATTTCTGTTAATTACTTCATGAGTTCCCTTTCCGAATTATGGCTGGCAAATTAATTTGCAGGAGCATTGAAAGCAATGAGTTCTATGGGCCAATGCCTCCTGAAATTGGGCATCTAATTCGAATAGAGAAGCTGTGAGTGTATTTATCTTAAAATGCACACAGAGAAGATATGATTATTGGTCAATGTAGTTTCTGATGACTTACATTCTCATCCTGTAACTTAGAATATTATCAACCAATGAGTTCACTGGACCCCTTCCAACTGCTCTTTTGCTATTCAGTAATTTAACTGATTTGTAAGACTACTACTTCATCTATACTCTGTTCCCACTTCGTTTCACTTTGAAGAGTCTTTTGTTAATTTTTAACTATTAATTGAAACTGGTAACAGGAGGATTTCTAGCACCAATTTTTCAGGAAGGATGCCTGATTTTTGGGGAAAATTGAAAAGGCTTGAAAAATTGTGAGTCAGTGAATTTATGAAGAAACACATCTTATACCTGCAGAAATCTCATGCTCATACCTTCTTTATGTAATGTAAGTATGTAACTCCTCTTGGTGCAGGCAAATCGAAGGATCTTTGTTGGAAGGGCCAATTCCCTCGAGCCTATCTGAATTGACAAATCTTTCTGATCTGTATGTCAGCAACAATGTGTGAAATTATTGTTCTCATAATTTTACATATATATAATGATAATCACTTATTGGGTATAAGTCCTTACTGCTCCATCATAAAAAAGATATTATTAGTTTTCACTAAATCCTGGTTGTGTTTCTGTGTGAAACAGGAGGATTAGTGACCTGAGAGGTAGTGGTTCATCTTTCCCTGATTTAAGTGGAATGACATCCATGAACAAATTGTAAGTTTGTGGTTTACTGAAGTTCAAGCTTGCCATATGCTGTCTGTCATATCTCATATGATAATCAAATGTAGGGTACTAAGGAACTGTTCCATCAGTGGAAGCATACCTCCTTACATTGGCACATGGACAACTCTTAAGCATCTGTAATAAATCACAATTTATGTAAGTACTAGAATGTTTTTATTATTCACATATTTCATTATAACATTGTCTATGCAGGGATCTCAGCTTTAATAAACTGAGTGGAGAAATACCACCTTCTTTTGCTAGCATGGGAGTTGTAGATTACATGTAAGTAGTGGCATTTTCATAAATTGAAATAAACATGATACTTCATTGTGCCCCTTTCTTGAATCAGCTTCTACCAAAATTGCCTGCAGATATCTAACTGGAAATTCACTCACTGGGAACATACCTGGATGGTTACTAAGAAGAAACAAGATTGCGTGAGTGATAATCTACTTCCACACTCTGAGGCATCAATGCTGAATCAAGAACCCATCTCTCTTATAAATATATAGGTCAATGAACCGATACCTACAGACATCCATGAAAATACCACATACCTTTCTTTTCCAGGACGTTTTAGAGCTATCATAAAAGTTAAGAACTTAAGAAAGGACAACTTCAACTTTCTAATTCTAAGATGTTGGTGTGTTAATACACTGTCAATTGCTGGATAAATGGTCTTCATAAGAAAACTGATAAAATATTTCTATTTTTAAAATGCATCCACGATACATGTCATGATGGAAATAACATTGAACCAGTTGAGTTTTCTTCCTATGTCCACTCTTGTTTAACTGGTGGCTGCATAGAGAAAAATTGCTCAATACCTGTATGTACATATAACTAAGAACCCCATATTACGGAACAAAGGAGTAAGAAGTCAAGCTTTCTTCTTTTTTTTTTCTTTTTTTTTTTGCGACAAGAAGTCAAGCTTTCAATACAATCCAATATAACAGAAAACGATCATATGCAGGGACATATCTTTTAATAACTTCACGACAGGGAGTTCAGGTCCTAGCCAATGCCTTCCAGGGAGTGTGTAAGAAACCTTTAGCATGGTATCCAATCTTCTTGCTCTTTGGTACCCTTATGAAAATATATAACCCTTTCCTATGAATCCTTCAACTGCAGCAATCTTGTGGAGAGCTATTCAGCTGAAGCGAACAGTTTGTAAGATCTTTTAGCTCGTTGCTTCAATTTAATAAAAATATTTAGACCATGGACCTGTCTAGACATAATAAAATGTTCTAACTCCCACGTTTTCCTTTGGTGCACAGAAATAGTATTCAGCCATGCTTAAAGAGGAATTTTCCATGTGTTTCTTCGAATGGACAATGTAAGTTGATCCCTAGTGCTGCTTCACAGTTAGTTCTAAAGCATCGGTACACCATAATGCATTGAGATACACCTCGTCGGCATGAGTCCTGGGTGCTCAGTGGCATGTTCAGGACAGCCAGCCTTTGGGGTGTCTCTCGGCCTGCACCTGAGAAACTTCTTCTAATCTTCTTAGTGCAATGCTGTGGGGGCGATCTTTCCCCAACAGGTTGACTTTTTATTATTATTACAGACAAGGGCAGCATTGATAATGATTAATGAACTTTGGATAAGTTAAAAAATGCTATAGCCTGTAGGATTATTAGTAAAAGTGCTAAACACAAACCCCTTAAAATCACCTACTGGTAATTAGGGCTTCCTACACAAAGGTACATTGTTTTTTAGTAAATAAAGCTAAGGTCATAGCTACTGTTCTTGTTTCAGCTGCAAGGAAAACTTACCTACACATTTTTGCAGATCACTCTTCATTGCATATCAATTGCGGTGACAAAGAAGCAACTATTAATGGAACTAAATATGAAGCTGACACAATACCCAAAGGGGCATCATTGCTGTATGTATCCCCAGGCTTGAACTGGGCGTTCAGCAGCACCGGGAACTTCATGGATGACAACATAAATGACGACAACTACATTGCAACAAGTGCATCAAAATTGGCCGTGTCCAATTCAGATCTGTACACCAAAGCCCGTCTTTCTCCTCTTTCGCTCACATATTATGGGCTTTGCGTGTTAAGTGGGAGCTACACAGTTAATCTCCACTTTGCTGAAATTGTTTTCACAAATGACAGCACATATTATAGCCTTGGCAAAAGAAGATTCAACGTGTTTATACAGGTAAACTAGATGTTAGTCGTTTCCTTTCTATTATAACACTTCCCTTTGTTAGCAGTGATATAAAAGATGGGCTCTTTAACCTCAGGGAGAATGGTGCTAGAGGATTTCGACATTAAGCAGTCGGCCGGTGCGGCTGCAATGCCAGTTATCAAGACTTTTCAAACATATGTCACAAATCACACTCTAGAGATTGAGTTCTATTGGGCAGGAAGAGGGACAACTGGCATTCCATATAGAGGTTCTTATGGCCCATTGATATCTGCAATATCAGTAACTCCAAGTCTGTTCCTTTGAATCCTGACTTTGTCAATTTTACATATTTAATTCCAGTAATTACTATGGGCAAGGACACAAATATTGAACATTTGCAGATTATAGTTTCAAAAGAAAGCTGTTATTTCCCATACTGATCTGGCAGTTGTGGTTTATGTTGATCATGTTCAGATTTCCTGATTCCATTGGCTGTTGAGCCTCCCAAAGCTGGAAGTAGCAAAAAACGGAGTTCAAGGGCATCTATTGCTTTAGTAATTGGAATTCCTATTGTAGCAATATTCACTGCTCTGATTGTCGGCATTTATTGTACTAAGAAGCAGAGAAAGAGTTCGATGCATAAAGGTATTATGGTTATTTTTCCCATTTCAAATTTTGTGTTATTTAATAAACTGGTAACTATCTTTCAATTTTTTGTGAACTCCACATGCTAGAGCACACCTAACTGAGCTGCACTAGGAATTGCAAGATAATACCGTGGATTCAAAATAAACGGAGATCTCATAGTTCAAATTTTTTCCCTGACAACAAAACAATTAAGCCAGCATAGTAAAGCTTTTGCATGTTGCTGTGGGAACAAAGAAATCATCCCTATGTATCTTAGTATAATGACCGAACATAAATCCTGCAGAACTCAGAGCCCTTGACCTGCAAATTGGCTCCTTCACCTTGCGTCAAATCAAAGCAGCAACTAGGAACTTCGATGCAGCTAACAAGATTGGTGAAGGAGGATTTGGTTCAGTTTACAAGGTCAGTTAGCATTGCTTTGCACACGTAAATTATGCTGAGGTTAATACTGCTAAAGTACGACTCTTACACTGGAACGTTACCTTCACTGACTCGACAGGGTTTATTATCCGATGGTACCATCATCGCTGTCAAGCAGTTATCATCAAGGTCTAAACAAGGAAATCGGGAATTCGTGAATGAGATAGGCATGATATCTGCACTCCAGCATCCTAACCTTGTCAAACTCTACGGCTGCTGTACAGAAGGAAACCAGCTGTCGCTAGTTTATGAGTATATGGAAAACAATTGCCTTGCACGAGCTCTTTTCGGTAAACATACTCTCCATGTTTCTTGGTTTACCCTTTTTAAACTTATGCTACATAGAACTCAGACTATTTCTATGGAATGCTACCGCTGTGTCCAGCTGAACAGTATAGACTGAGAATGGATTGGGGAACAAGGCATAAGATTTGCCTTGGAATAGCAAGAGGTCTAGCATATTTGCATGAGGAGTCTGCAATAAGGATCGTGCACCGAGATATCAAGGCCAGCAATATACTGCTCGACAAAGATTTGAATGCCAAGATCTCAGATTTTGGGCTAGCAAAGCTTAATGAAGATGATCACACCCACATAAGCACAAAAGTAGCTGGAACTATGTAAGTGTTTTCATCCCATACCCTTGTTTTCTTTAAAATCCTATTGACCTTAAGGCTACAGATAAGAATCTCTAGAAGGGAAGACAGTTTGAACTTTGAAAGCAATGGATACAACGAACATGGGTACATTTGACCTAATGGAAAACACTAAAAACCTCATGAACACTGAAAAATTTAACATAGAGAAAACACTGGAGAAATATGAACTCAGCAGCATATTGACTGTTTCCCTGAATAAGACACTTAATGATATTAATTAGTTCCTATTTGAAGAACTTATCTGAGCATTTGTTAGTAAGTCTATAAAACTGCATAACTTACAGCTGACTTGATTGTTTTGTATTCATGCAGCGGATACATGGCTCCTGAGTATGCTATGCGTGGTTATTTAACAGATAAAGCTGATGTATACAGTTTTGGTGTTGTTGTTTTGGAAATTGTCAGTGGAAAAAGTAACACAAACTACAGGCCGAAGGAAGACTTTGTTTATCTTTTAGATTGGGTAAATCCTGAATCTTGATCCATTGGTAAACATCAGTTTGGAGTTTAGACCATGTTGGATGGGGGTTTGCTATATGATCACCTTACATTAAAGCAATGACCTCAGATAGTTGTTTCTGCTACAAATATGAGTTGTACGTATTGTTGGGACATGATCCTTTTTTTGTTAAGCACTAGGATGTTTCATATGGAAGCGAATTTAATATTAACTTATCATATCAGCAGTAACATTAGCTCAAATCCTGCATCATGTCCTTTTGTACTTACTAAAAAAACTTCTGTTTATGCATGAATTTCCGCAGTACATTAAATTCTGACTTATTTGGTCCTTAAGAAAAAGATTCTTGCCATCCCAGAGTGTTCTTTTTTTTTTAAAATGGATAGAGTAGGGGAGATCTTATTTTTGTATAAATACATATATATATAAAGAAAGGGGCTAAGAACAGATACTTAAGTTGCAATAGGAGAGAGAGAGAGAGAGAGAGAGAGAGAGAGACAATCAGGTGAAACTATAAGGGCGGGATTACGAGAGGGTTTCCACCCAAGAGAGCCAGAGTGGTCATTGTTATGATTTTTACCTCTAGACTAGAGTAACCAAATGAGAAAACAGTACCTCATTTTCTGCATAACCAGAGGAAATTGGGTTATCTCCGAATGTCAAACCCTACCAGTTCTTGTGTTATTCAGATGTACATACCTCGATTAGTAAGTTAACGGCATCTTCCAAATCTTTTCCAGGCATGTGTTCTACATGAGAGAGGAACTCTACTGGAATTGGTAGATCCAGATCTAGGATCCAATTACTCAACAGAAGAGGCGCTCCTCATGCTGAATGTTGCCCTGCTATGCACAACTGCAGCACCTACACTCAGACCAAAGATGTCGAAAGTTGTTAGCCTGCTTGAAGGCAGCACCCCTCTGCAGCCTTTGCTGTCAGACCTCAGCCTTGCAGCAAATAGCCTGAGCTCAAGTGGTGTACGCAGGAACTTCTGGCAAAACCCAAGTGAGAGTCAGAGCCTGACAGCACAAGCCTCATGCAGTGATACTAATGAATCATCGACCATTGATATAGATGGTATCCTGAGACCACTGGTAAGTTAGATGTATTGTATGTGCATCATGAACTAGGTTTACATGTAGGAACTACTAGGGATAGGCCAGCATGTTTGTATCAAGTTCACCAGTGCAATGTAAATAGCAAGGAGCATACTAATGTCTAGTACAGGGAAAGCCCTATGCATTTTAGTAGTCTCTGTTTCAGATTCCATGGGAATATTAAGTAAGATGTCTATGACAGAACACTGGAAGTTCCCTATGGACTATGGTCTCTGAGCTCTTATCCATCTTTTCTTTTGTTTCTGAAAAGATAACAAATTTGCCATTAATACTTCATCTTATAGCAGTTAACTATCAATTACAACTTGGAGATGAACTGATACCAATTAAGTACTCAATAACTCAGCTCACCTCAAACATCATACCAAATAAAAAAGCACCATCTCAAAAATATGTTATTTCACTATTCAGATGTCCTCTTCAGCAAATGTCCTGGAACACAACTTATAAGGTTGAAGAGTCTGAGGATATCTCAAGTGTCTCCCCCATGCTAAACTGAAGTCCTACAAGTAAAACATCAACATACACAACACCCTCCTGATTGTACCAGACAACAAGAATGTGTTGCTCTTGCTTAAATAAACCATGCAGCAGTATTTTGTCAGAATCCCTTGGCAAAAAGGCGTCCTTATCAAGTTATTATATACAGAAGTTCATGGCTCGATAATGGCATCACAAATCATCCAGCTGATAGCATGTACAACAGTTGATCCAGCAGTTGTTGAGTCCCTCCGACCACTGCAATTAATTAAATGCAAGCTTTATCCTGTGTTGTTTCTTTTCCTGTGATTGTAGCACCAACAAGAATTGATTACATTGAAACAAAATTAAATTTACAAGCAAGCTCAGAAAAAGTACCTAAATGAGAGGCACGACATACTTGCTGGATAATGCTGTGATACCAATATATAATTCATAGCATAAATTGGTATTTGAATTCCATTTAGTTTCACAGATATCCTTGAGAACTCCAAAGGGTGCCTACTGCCATCAATTGTTGCATCAGGTACTCTGTGACTATCACAAGTTCAGTAGAAATGAGAATTGGGAACTACAAAATCATTAAGGATACAGTTCTATAAAGAAGTAGGATAAGCCTGATGTTTCAATAAAGTCAGTTTAATATCACTAAAACTAATAACAGCATGAGAACACTTTGCAGAGAAAGTAAACTGTCGAAGAGTCAGCTACAGAATTATAATAACTAGACTCAATAAGAGAAATTATAAGCATCACTCATACGACTAATAGATTGAACTCTGCACCTAAACCACGGTGCGTATAGGCCAGGGCGAATAAAACGCGAACCATATCAGACAGCATGCGCATATATTATGCACGCTGACAGCATGTCATACTCAGACATTAAACAAGTCCAAAACATGCAAATCCCCGGTATTCAAATCCGCAATGCCCAAATCAAGCAATGCAATGTGGCCAGAACTGATGTTCAGTTAGCATCATTGATGCAGCTAACGGTCCTAGAAAAAAAGAGTAAAGAGAGAGGCAAAAGGAGAGACAGTCCGCACAGACATTTCAACGACCACCAGGCATTGCACCACCCAAGCCCTCCGACCACACCCGTCAACCCAAATTTCCCAAGGGAACCCCGGTTCTGACCGCACGGCCACGGATCGCCGGTAGAGGGAAGAACTATGAGATCACCAATTCAGCATCCTGGGCTCTTACCGGTACTGCCACCGGCTTCCTTGGTGACCGGGGACGGGGAAGGGTCCGCAGCTGCTCGGACGCGGCGAGGCAGTATAGTGTGGCCATATGAGGGCGGCGGAAACCAACGTCACTGATAAGCGCATGTTTGGTTGCACTTGTAGAACAAGAGATAAGCAAAGCCAAAATTTGGCCAGGGCAAACAGGCCAACAGGGCAGTGCCAAAACTTGAACAGTGCCGGCTAAATTTTTGTTCAGAAATTTTGTGACGAGGGCGTCAGTCCAGGTATATCCGTCGGGATGGCCCGTTCTCGGGCCTGTGCGGCCATCGGGACCAACAAACCTGCTCCGCTCCACGCCTTCACCTTAAGTGTTTCACGGTTTCTCAAAAAGACAGCGACATTTCCTTTCCCAACAGACCCATGCGACCGTCGCTGGCGCATCCACCGCGTCGCTCGCCCGCAGCTTGCCTTCTCCGGCCTCCGCGGCCTTCTCTAGCGTGGGCGCACTGCACCTGGCCCCCATCCCGTGCTCCTCCACGCCCCCATCCACCTCGCGTCATTGCGGCCATGGCGCGGCCGGCCGAAGACACTGTAGCAGGAAGGGGAGGCCTGCGCCTGCGCTTGGATGTACGCTAGTTAGCTCTCGACATTCCCTTACCCGAGCTTGCTGGCTACCGTAGTTCTCCACTAGGTAGGTGAAAGGTCGAGATGGCGGACTAGAGGGGATGAATAGTCATTTCTAAATTTAATCGCGCCGGCTAACCGAAATAAATACAGAATTAAAACAATCGGTCTAGGTAAGACTACACCCCTCTATCGAAGTTCACAAGCACCTTATAAAGATAATCGGTCTAGGTAAGACTACACCCCTTTATCGAAGCTCACAAGCACCTTATAAAGATCTTAATTAGCCAACAAAGGTGCCGGGCTAACTAGAGCTCTCCTATTCAATTCTAGGAGCAAGATTACACAAACCTATATCACTAATATTTTGCACACCGGAGAGCTCCTACACAATTTTAGTAAGCAAAAGCACAAAGCTCCTAAGCTCACTAATAATGCTCAATAACAGGGCAAATAAAGCCAAATTAGAGAACGCAAATACTTAGCTACACAAACTAAGCAATGTGACTAACAAGGTTACATAAACCAAACTAGCCACGCAAGGGAGCTACTTTTATGCTACACAAGTAAGAAGGTAACTAGTGAGCTACACAAGCTAACTAATTACAAGAGCAACTACACAAACACAATGTATATGAAAGTAATTACAAACTTGTGTAAGGGGATAGTAAACCAACGGAAAGAACAATGTTGACACGGTGATTTTTCTCTCAAGGTTCACGTGCTTGCCAACACGCTACGTCCCCGTTGAGACAAGCTCCAAGATTGCCGCCGGTCCTCTTGCTAGTGGTGACCCGCAAGTCACACTCTCCCACGTGGAGTGCTTACCAGAAGCTCTAGCACTTGACCCCGCAGAACCATTTGTTGTCCTTCGCGTCTCGCTCTACTAGAGTTGCTCTTCGCGGCTCCCGCGGGACGAGCACAATGCCCCTTATAAAGCTCTTCTCCGGAGCACCGCACAAGCTTCTTGCGGGCTTCGACGGAGACCACCACCAAGCCGTCTAGGAGGTGGCAACCTCCAAGAGTAACAAGCATCACCGGCTTACAAGACGACCACCTAGTGTGACTCAATGCAACCTCACAATGCAATCGCACTAGAATCGCTCACTCACTCAATCAGATAAATACTATCAAGCTAGAGTGAGTTAGAGAGCTCCTAAGCACCACCACATAAGCCACCAAGGCTCTAGTGTGCTCAGTTCCCGGTCAAAGGCCGACCAACACTTCTATTTATAGCCCCACGGACTAAAATAGCCGTTACCTCTTCACTGGGAGTTTTTTGGGATGACCGGACGCGCCAGTCAGATCAACCGGACACACCCTGCCAGCGTCCGGCCGCGCTACGCCGTCCACGTGTGGCTCTGCGTTCAACCGGAGTCACCCGATCTCAACGGTAACTTCACGCGCCAACAGTCACACGATGACCGAACGTAGCATAGCGAGGATGACCAGACTCTACAATGCCTGAGTCCGGTCGTTTCCAGAGAGCTCCCTGAGCCTCTGTTATACGACCGGACATGTCCGATCATAGGTGACCGAACGCATCTCAGGGTTCGGACCTCACTGGCTTCTCGCGCCTGCCTGCGTCAGCGTACGTCAGCCTGACCGGACGCTGGCCTTGCACGTCCAGTCACTATTCACGCCAGTGTCCGGTCACAAGACCTAGACCGCGCGCTCAACTGCAGCCACTGACCGAACGCACCAGTCAACGTCCGTGAAAGGTCCTAATGGCTAGAGGGGGAGTGAATAGCCTATTAAAAAATTCTACAACAACACTTAGCAAACCGGTTAGACAATTATGAGGCGAAGCAACTGTTGCGCTAGCCTACTAAAAATGTAAGCCACCTATCACAATTCTAGTTTCTATAGTTTCTAACCACACAGTGACTATGTCACTATACTAAGTTAGTGTGCTCTCAAAGGCTAACTAAAGAGCCACACTAACCAAACTAACAAGCTCTCACAACTAGCTATACTAAAGAGCTTGATAACTAGTTTGCGGTAATGTAAAGAGAGTGAGCAAGATGGTTATACCATCGAGTCGAGGAGTGAACCAATCAATCACAAGAAAGAATACCAATGAATATCAATCACCTTGGAATCAAATGATGACACAATGATTTTTTACCGAGGTTCACTTGTTTGCTGGCAAGCTAGTCCTCATTGTGGCGATTCACTCACTTGGAGGTTCACGCTCTAATTGGCATCACACGCCAAACCCTCAATAGGGTGCCGCACAACCAACACAAGATGAGGATCACACAAGCCACGAGCAATTCACTAGAGTACCTTTTGGCTCTCCACCAGGGAAAGGTCAAGAACCCCTCACAATCACCACGATCGGAGCCGGAGACAATCACCAACATCCGCTCGATGATCCTTGCTGCTCCAAGCCATCTAGGTGGCGGCAACCACCAAGAGTAACAAGCGAATCCCGCAGCGAAACACGAACACCAAGTGTCTCTAGATGCAAACACTCAAGCAATGCACTTGGATTCACTCCCAATCTCACAAAGATGTTGAATCTATGATGGAGATGAGTGGGAGGGCTTTGGCTAAGCTCATAGGGTTGCTATGTCAATGCAAATGGCCAAGAGAGTGAGCTAGAGCCGGCCATGGGGCTTAAATAGAGAGCCCCCACGAACAGAGCCGTTGGGCTCCTCACTGCACTGAACACGGGGTGACCGGACG